AATAATGACACAAAGCTCGACATATATGTGCTTGAATTTCCATTCCTAGTGTTTAATTTATTCACAGCTTAGTCGGCCAAATAATGCTAATGAGTTCTGGTTCATCCTGACGACTGGAGATAACTTTGGCGTTCAGCTAGGCCCAGGCGACTGAAGGATGGACAAATCGTTCTCAGTTTATCGGCCCTCTGTCGAAACAACAATGAAACCCTACAATTCTCCTGGACCAAATTACACAACGCGTGTGCTGGGTGGATTTCTTGTTTGAGGTAATGTGACACCATGCAGCAGGGGCAGATTACTCCAGCTTTATCATAAACGCAGAGCGATTAGCATTAGGAGGGAAAAGGAGCGAAACTACTTCCAATTCTGGTGGAGATTAACACAAGATGAGGCGTTTAAATCAACCCCTGGAATGATTGGGGAGGCGCTCTGACAAGGAAACTGTAAATGTTATCCACCAAAATACGAGATTTCCTTTGCTTTTTGTGTGAATGGATTCAGAAACATTTGAGTTTTCTCATTTATTTCTTCAGGCTGACAAATTATAGATATCAGACAGTTGTGCACTATAATCACTACCACGTTTTTAGAGGCCATCGTCTCTTTTAAATGTCTGCACGAGTACGAGACGAAGCAGAGTATAGTTGTGACAAGAGACTCGAAGCAGTGAGCATCTCCACGGTCTGACGTTTTCACAAATCTGTGTAAAAGTCAAAGGCAGGTTGGAGTGTTGAGAGAGACGCGCGTTAAGCTGCATTTGCATAAACTGAACAGTGGTGTTTGCGGCAGGTTCCAAGCATTTTCCGTCAGTGCCGCGGCAGGCTCAGCGTGGGTTAATTCTAATGACGCGCTACAACTTTCAACTGCGTTCACGTCTTCTTTATTCGTTGCACATCAAACTTGCAACATGATAATGGATCAGCACATGATTACGCAGTATTCAGGTAAACGTTCAATGAAAGTCTTTCACCCAAGCTCACCCCGCCATCATCCTTCCTGCCTTCAGTCTCCACTCAACAGGCGACAGGTGAAGATAAGTAGCTCAAAGACGCACCCAGTGACACACCCACTCCCAATATACAAACCAATACACATTAACAAAAATAACAAAAAACATCCTAATTTTTGGCTCCTTCAAGTGGTGAGACTCATAAAACTCAGTGCTTCTTGTTCAAACACAAACTCATCATCTGCAGCCGCTGATGCACAGTCCTGTGTTCTGGATTTAAAGGGACTTAACGGACTTTTGAATTTTAATGCTCGCGATTGCCCCCTCAGGCCAAAAGCGTAACGGCAGCCTCAATAGTAGACTCGTGCACGAGGCGCGCATGCTGTACGTGCACACTCCTTAACGAAAATAACAGCTGAGACAGTCCTGTGTGTGTGGCCCGGAGGACAGAGGACAGGAGAACGCGCAGCTAATTAATTAAATAAATTGGTTCTGTACCTTTCTCTTCAGCACAGCCGACAAAGGTTTAAGATGGGTCAGTCCTCCTGCATGCTCAGATCATTCCCTTCCCTTGCTTGAAAAATTGTTCCAAAATGAAAGTTGAACCCACATCTTTTTTATCTGTGAATTCAATGCCGTTCGGCGAGTCTCAAATAAAAATTTGGACATCTTACTGTAAAAAAATATACATTAATGTAAAAAAGAAACTCTAAATGAACTATGTTCACATCCAGAACCGAACCCAGATCTTCTGCATGGGAGTCAGACGTCTTACAACGTGAGCTAAAGCACCAGTGACATCTTTTGTATCTGTAACTTTTATATCGTTGATGACAGCTGAAACAACGTCAAACCAATGAACGGTTCGAAGCAAAAATGGCTATTTTGTTGCTAATTTGCAGGAAATATCTAGAAGAAAGTTCTACAGAAAGTAGCTAAGGGTCCTCAGAAATGTAGCTAGCTTTGTCACTAGGCGTTAGGAACAGCGACAAAGTGGCACTGCCTCTCTCTCTGCTGCTAAAGCTACTGATAGCAAATGCTACGGGCGATGTCTGAGCATGAACGCGCATGAAGCAGCCTGCTCGACCCGAGCATCTCTCTTTTTCTGTGATTTTACAGAAAAACAGGCAATCACAGTAAAAATGCCAGGGCTCATTCTACAGGACCAGGGCATTGCAGGAGAATGTATCAAGAAGAAGTTTATTATTTCTATACATGTTTTGGCTGTCAAACTTCCATAATGCCCCTTTAAGAGTGAGTCTCTCAGTAACTATATCACCCATCTGGGTTTTACGACTGAAAGGAGCTCGGTGACTAAACTTATTTCACATTTGGGTGTGTGTTGTTTGGGTCGGCCGTGCACATCCCGATTTTGTTTTGTCGTGAGCTACAGATGCCCCACAGGAAGAGCGGCGACACAACACAGGTTTAATCAGAACACGACGGATCAAAAGCCAAGAATGCCTGCAGATGTTACGTAAACTTCAAAAAGTACTTTGTTGTGGGAAAAATACACAACCGGTGTCCCGGTTTGTTCGAGTTATGAGCTGGACACCAGTAAAGGTCGCAATGACCAGAAGAGGTACCGCTTTTTAAGGTGCTCTGTGAGATTGTTAGGTGGCAAAAATGACGGCTGTGTGTGTGTGTGTGTGTGTGTGTGTGTGTGTGTGTGTGTGTGTGTGTGAGAATGCTGCTTATATTGTTTTCTTTCTGTTTCGCTTCACTAATTATTCTCCCAGATTAACAAATGCCGGCTGTTTGACGTCTGCTGTTGTCGTTTCCTGCTGAGTTACAACCAATCAGCATGCCTTAATTACAAGTCCAACCCAGTGACTCTACTGGGCCATTTCTACCTACCTTCAGGTACTCGGTTGGTTCCTGAAATGGCCCGGAAAGCAGTCCTTTCAGTCCGGCACAGTGAACAGAACATACAGACATGCCACAAAGATCTAGTAAAATTACCCAGAAGTTCTGAAGTGGAAACGGGCCTTTTGAGATGTTCTGGAAGGGAGGCGTGTATAGGGAAACAAAAGTGCTTGTAGGGATTTTTCTTTCAATGCTCCAGAAAAATGTCCAGAGATTCTGCTACTGAGACGGAGCGCATCCAACCATCCAGATCCTTTACCACGAGTGGGTTTGAAAAAGAAATCAGCCAGCAATGTGCCTCACACCATTCACACTGTGCACTTGTACCGTTGCTACCCCACATGCACCCCTCCCCTCCTTGTATTTGGAGCTGTGAAGCAGATCTTCAGCAGAAAACCTCCTGCTGTGAAGTGCATATGTGTGAACAGCAACTAGCAAAATAAACTAGACCAAATTATCTGCACATGTTTCAGAACATCTCCAGTGCTACACCTTTCCCCCTTTGTTTAGTAATCGTGTCGCTCACTGTTTACATGCTTTTGCCGTCCACCATGGTGGACCCACGTGATTAGGTGACGTCGGTGCAAAGGGTCAATAGAAATTTCCCTGAACTCCTTTAGTGGAAACTCACAGAAAGTAAATTTGTAGCGGTCGTATACGCGTTCCAGACGACTGCTATGAGTCTTTTGACGATTCTGAGAAAAAAAATCTGCACGAATATTTAGAAATGTCAAAACTTCAGAGAGGCCATCAGACTCGAGTATCCAGAACTCTTAAAGCATTCGAAGACACTTAAAAGACTCTCATGAAGGCTGTTTGTTGCCAACCATCACAGCCCAGTGAGATTCTGGTTTTAATGAGTGAAAACAAATCCAGTTCAGCCAGCGAGGTCAAAACAAAATGTGGCCGAAGCTAAACGAAGCCTGGACGAAAAAGTTGGCCCACAATGAGAGCAAAAACGTCCGCCATCTTTCTGAGAGTTGCTTCATGCATATTCTCTAATCTTACCTCCATCTTTGTTTATCCAGCCAAGCAACAGGAAAAGACACATCACTGTCGGCTTTTCAAATGTCACATCATCAGCAAACAATAAACAGCTCGCTTCCTTCAAACCGCTGCTGCAAAACGAGTTCAGACGTGATAGGGACGTCTGATCGTCCGGCCAGAAGTGGACGCAGACATTTTCACCTTCCAGTTCTTTAATGACACAGTGCACCTGGTGGATTTTAGAAACAGCAGCTGAACTGTAGCCCCGAAGAAGCATTTATGTTAAAAATGGCAGATTTGCAGACTTGTCTGTTTTTTTTTCCCCCTGGCGTTGAAGAGGACTGTTTGGGAAGCGGCAAGGTTAGGAGCTGAAGTGCACTACAGCATGCAGTGAGAGAGTCAGGGGTGAGCAGCGGTTACGGACAGGTAGGAGCAGAAAAAAGCTTTTCTTCTTTGTTAGACAGGAAAGAAAAGACACAGAGAGCAGGAAGAGAGGGAAAGACTTCTCCAACCTCACGGGTCACGTCTCTACAGGAGGGTAAACAGAGGGAAAACACATGAATGACACATGGAGACGGATGGAGTGAGAGGAAAAAGAAAACGGTACAAGACCCCCTCCTGTTAGGTCCCCACGGAGCGAGGGGGGGAGGCTTCACCCCTCAGAAATCCGCTTGATGAGGTCGCCCACTGGGTGACCCCACTGTCCACCTGCGCCCAGACAGCCAGGGAGACGGCCACACGGACAAAGACAGACAGACAGACTGACTGAAACAAGAGAAAATAGCCTTTTTTATACAAGAAGAGCACACGAGACATAAAGACAGGGAATCAAAAGACAACAGAAACCTCTGGAGTGGAAGACAAGCACAAGCAAAGGAGTCAACGACAAAGAGCAGATGAATGAAACATGACGGTGGTGTTGGGTTGTCTGTTTCAGATGAAGGAATGAAGCGTGACAGGGTGAGGAGATGGATGGTAAGTGAAGGCACTCTTTTTTTTTAAAAGAGACAAATATCGTTGTCTAACCCCCCCCCCCCCCCCCCAGGAAGCGTCAGCCAACCGTTTCCGACAGGGAGAGAGTCAGCCCCTGAAGATTTCAGCAAGAAAGCACTGCATCCGGTTCAAAGACACCCAGAGACAAGTAACAAGAAACAGTTACAACATTAATCCTCTCACAGGAGCATAATCCACTCACCACAAGGCCCCTGGTGTCCGACGGGGATGGGGCTCCTGCTCAGACACTCCGCCTTGCGTCGCAAACAGTCGTTGTTGTAGGTGCGTCCGTCCTTCCCGCATAAAGGCTTGTAAGCGCCGTCGCAATCGATGGGATCGCAGGAGCAGCGGGAGCCTGGCTCTTCCACCACGCACACAGAATTAAACAAACACTTTTCCGTACAGTCCTCTGCAAGAAAATCAAAATAACGGCTCAGAAACTAAACTGTGCTGTTCAGCAATAACTGGGCCTTAATCCTTTTTCTTTTTCAGACTGATCAAACCATTCAGTGACCACTTTAGCCTCGGAAGCGTCTGCATTCACTCATTTGTTCAGGTTTTTTATTTAATTTGACACACATCTGTGCAGACACTGATAAGGCTACGCGGAGCCGTTTCCAACAGAAAGTTTGGTGCCAGCGTGACAGACTAATCGCTACAGAGGGGAGGACAGGAGACGTACCCAACAGGCGTAAAAAACAATATTCAAAAACTAGGAAAGGGTTGAAACGATTGTGCTGCCAGCATTGTAGCGCTGCTGGCCAAACCACGGGGAAATAAATCAGTTTTCATCCAAACAGTAATAACATGTCAGGGTGGACGCAGTCATCGCGTGTAAAGGCTTCTCTTGCAGCAGCAGAGGTTAAACCTCTCATCAAAAAATATCAGAGAACAAAATGTACCATGTTGAAAAAATCTCATATTATTTCAAGATTCTTCAAAATTCAAATAAAAGCGTTTAAAAGTGTTCCTTTTGTTAGTATAATTAAAGGTGCAATATGTAAAAATGATACATTTTCTATATTACTATGGATATTTTTAGAGTTGAATATTTGCTTCTAAAGCTTGGTTTATGCTTGACGCATTCACTTTCCACTTGGTGATGCGGCTCGCGGATGGAACGCGCTTCACAACTTGCAGCGTTTATGGTTCATGCGGCTTGTCTCTGCGGTGAGCCAATATTCTCCCAAAATGTAGGGGGCAGCATGGAGCTCTACAGCATGCATCCAACACTACACCATAGTAGAGGTAAAACTTACTGTTGTTTACAACATGGCATTCCAGCATTTTTTAACAGCGTCCTCGTCTTTTCCGACAGTGCGAGCTATTTCTCTCCAAGAATTATTAACAACATGTTGATCACAGTGATCTTTGAGAGCTGAATCATACAAATGTCTGTATTTACGAACCTCTGTCATACTAGTTCTTGCCAGTCCGCTATGTTTTTCCGCGTCCGACCGTCCGCGTGGTTAGAAAATTTCCTAGGTGCGCGGTGCGGAAAGTTTGGGCCGTGCGGAGGCGAGGTGGAGGGGCGTGGTTGTTAAAATGACGCAACTTTTCCGCGAGGAGCCGTGCGAACCTCGCGGACGCGTCAAGCATAAACCAACCTTAATTCACCGTTAGCATTGCTAGCTCAATGTTAGCCTCTAGCCTGCTTCACCTGATATTAGAGTAAAACAAAAACATGTCGTGGCTTCTTAGGGATACAAGATATCACCTTTTCTTTAAAGGTGCATTATGTAAGAATATAGTGATAATTTTACAGTGATAAAATCCCAAAAGAGTCTAATAATTCAGTCATTTTGAAAGGAAGGTTATATCATATCCAGCTGTGGGGATTGCTAGTTTTTTTTCCCTTTCAAATCAAAGGAAGGAGGGGCGTAGCTACTGTTTACCATCAGTGAGTGTGGGGTTGCCATGTCTCCTGAGAGCTAATACTGCAGCGCCAACAATTGTAATTTGACGACGGCCGGCGAAAAGCTCAAGAGTTGTTTAAACTGGTTGCAGTAACCAAATTTTACCACAGGATGTAATTTTTACTTCATGTGGCAACGTGGAGAAATGAGGGCCGGGTGGGACTCGATCCCTAGACCCCCGGGTGAGAGTCACACGCGCTAACCAGTCAGCCAAAGGGACATCGAATTGGCCAAATAGCCAGGGTGCATGATGAATCGGGATACAGTGACACTCACCCTGTCACATGCATTTCTACATAATGCACCTTTAAACAACTTTTTGGATGCTGGTGTCAAAATACAAATCTCGGTGTTAGCTTGGTGCACACATGATTTCACAGATTGTAAACAAACACTGCGTCCTTCTTTGGCCATTTTGAACCATCCAGCCGGCTGAGAAGGAAATCTGTCAATGTAACCTTCCTTCCAACATGACTGAAATATTAGACTGTTTTGTGATTATTTCATTCTAAATTTCTTTTATATTCTTTTTAAAAAATGATTTAATAAAAGAAGTAATGTAAAAAGAAGTCAGTCACAATTTCTGTAAGTCTAATTATAAAGTTTCCCTAAAACTTTTACATAAAAACTTGAACATGAATCACAAATTAAACTTTAAAGTTAAATTAAAGAGACAGATTCATTCAGAGCATTTTTGAGTTACTTAGCAGAAATCTACAGCAGGAATTAAGAGAAACGAAAGAAATACTGGTAATGTGACACGGCACATTTGCCACTGAAGTGGGAAAATCCAATTTGAAGGTGGCTTCTTTTCTGGAGGCACTCGCTAGACTTCGAATTTATTTCATTCCTGATCAGTGGATTAAATTTGTACAGCAATTCAATTCCTGCCCCTCCTTTCTTTAAAAGCCTGTCATGCCACATTTAATTACATCGCTGCTCTATCTGAGTGAGAGGGCTACAAGGATGTGCAATGTCGCGGTTACAAGTCGAAATGGCCATTTTCATTAGCCACCAATTTGTAATTTGCTTTGGGATATGATTTCATGGATCTCTGTTTCAAATTCAATTATTCTTTTATTTTAAGGAGGCACAGCACAAAAGGAGGGGAAAGTAAGAAAAAAATTCAGAATCCACTCGCTCACATGCATGAACCTTTTCTCTCACATAAACACAAACTCCCAAATCTCCTTTAGCTGGGATTTATGCACGTTAAAGCCTTCACGCTCGTCCATCAGCCTGTCAAGCAGAGCAGGAAGCAGAACCAGTGTGTGTCAAAAGAAAAGAAACGAGTGTATCAGCCTCCAGTGGTGTTGATACCAAAGGACAACCAGTGCTGATCTTCAGCTGTTTCAGGGGCAGCATCTTTGTAAATGGGTGCAGGTCTCTGCACATCACTGTGGTGAACTCGCACACTTGCGAGGCCTCTCCGACGGCACAACGGGAAAATTGGATTTCCTCTGATGGCTATCACAACCTACAGTGAAAGCTGACAGCTGTTTGTTGACTGAGACTTAAACCCTGTGTTCTAATAGCGACGATAGCAGCCCTGCAGGTGCTTATCAGGCTGGACGGAGCTGAGGTGAGCTCGGATACGGTGCAGACCCCGTGACCCGAGAGTCATTTATCTGTGCATCACGGAGAAAACACGGAAACAGGTGTGATCTCATAAACGCTTCGCCTGACTTTGTTACATCTCACACCGATATGACCACATTAGCACATGCTCGTATTTATTAGACGCTAAAAATAGCTTGTGACCGACTCCACTCACATCCTCACAAGATGTGTGTGCTTTGTGCAGCCTTTTGGTGTAAAGTTTCTAATCATCAGTTTAACTTTAAGGTACTAGAATACTTTAATGGAAAGTCAAAACTTTAGCTTTTTCATGAAATCGTCAAAATTTAGTCTCAGAACTTGGATAAAGAATTCTAACATACATGCTGAGAACCACAAATGTCTCCCCTACCTTTGCTTCTGCATTGTCCTGCATGGACCCTCCTCAGTTTGACATCTTTCTGGATGCCCGATGCCGTCATGGCACACTCGCTCTTGTAGGTCTGACCGTTGCTGGCACACAGCTCATCCGCAGGCGGGCAGGCCTCAGGCAGACTAAAGAACTGAGGCTGCCGCGTGCTGGCCTCCGCTCGGCATATCGTGTTCAAGCTGTTCCTCATGTCTTTACAGGGATCTGTGGAGACAAACGCTGGACTGTCTCAAGGCGTAGCATTCTCCATGCCACCAGTTCAGTGGTGGTCGGCTTGAATTACACTGAAAACAGCAAGTTGCAGTTGTACATTTGATGACTTGTTTCTGAGGGTTTCATTAAGTCATACGGCGGTCCGTAAGATGTTCTAAGCTGCTGAAGGTGTAATCCTAGAGGGCTCAGGAAAATTAGACCTGGGCTTCTTTTCCTCAAAGACGTTTTGCTTCTCCGGTTTCTGATTTGGACAAGAAAAGTGTGAATGACCAAGCGTTAAAACTGTAGTAAGATGTTAGTGGATGCAAGCTAGTAGACAGACCAATAGTCCTCCCCTCTACCCTAGAAAGCTAGACAAACCGTAGCAATAGCAAAAGATTCCCCTCTTTAAGTCGGTGTAGTCCATTGTAGCTTTAGCACGTCTACCATTGGTTTGGCTAAGTTTAGGCTGGCCAATCACAGCACTCTATGTCTGTAGAGAAACTTTGGATGGGCTTGGCACCAGCAAAGCTGTGATGGAGCAAATCTACAAAGATGGCAGCAGCAGCTCAGGAACGGCTCTAGTTTGAAATGGCTTTGGCATCAACTCTGGACGACTTTTCCTCCGAGGCTTTTCTCTGAAACGAGCATAGAGGTACTTCATCTTCTTCTTCGATGGTGTAACGACTGCTGACTGAATTCCACCACTATGAGCTTCTACGTCACATTGTTTATCGCTCTGACAGTCGTAGTGCTGTCCAATTGTGCGCAAAGGCAGTTTAAAAGATTCCACTCACGTTCCTGGTGGTGTACACAACATGTTTATTTATAGAAGTTTAACCCTCCCACTGTCTTTATGGGTGACCACGCGAGGGAAGTTGACCATTGAGCAGGATTGATGGTCTAACCCTTGAGGTCCACGTGGCAGAGGTGAGGTGGTGCTCACTCCTCACCCCTGCCACGTGGACCTCAAGGGATAAACCATCAACCCTGCTCAATGGTACACTTTCCTTGCAGGGTCCCACCCATTAGGACAGTGGGGGGGATAAGTAAGAATATACAGTAACAAATATTACTAGGAGTAGGTGTTGGAGATGACTCTTAGCTACGACATCCAATTTTAGCTCAAGTATTGTGTTTGCTAAGGGTAGTTAGCTGTGGTGGCCATCTTGAGCAGGGACGATAACAAAACGGATTCAGTGGGAGATGAACATCAAATGATTACTTGATGAATTTGTTAAGACATCAGTCACAAACAACAATATTCCTGTTGTGTATTTTCAGTCTACGTAATCATCTCTCTAGAGTTTGGGAAGGAAAGATGCTTCACAGATCTTATCGGGGATCAGTATTTGAGTGCAGGATGGAGCAGGACCTTGGATGTGAAGGATAGACAAAAAAACACACACACCGAGACTGTTGGTTTGATTAGTTCTCTCACTTCCCTCCTTCTAGAGGGCTGTTGGTACGGCATGCTTCGCCACTATCAGCCCGTGATCATAATGGAAATGGTTTGTGGCCTAGTGGAATGGGGAGAGCGGGTAACACGTGGAAACAGCCAGCTGTGGCTTTTACTCATGCTCTTCGTGCTTCCAGCATGAGGGAAGGCAAAGGAATTACGTGGCACCATGAGCATATTAAATCACTGCCAAGTTACAGTGAGTCATTCAAAACACACCGAGGATGAAGACACAGCCAATAGTCAGGGAAAGGAGAGAGATAATGGGAAATAGCAAATATGAGGAAGTGTTTTCCAAACACCTCTGGCAGGAATACAAGGACTGACAATGCCGGGGTTTCAAAAGGGATGGAGCGCCTTGGCTGCAGACGGCTAAAAGGCAGGGTAACCGCTGGCCAGGGCTCGAATTGATTTCTACCGGCGCAATGCAAAAGCTTGCAGAGACATGCAACTGAGTAAACAAGGGTTTTATCGTAATGCACGCGGTGTCTCTGTGTGACACAACGCCTCACCCGCCAGCCAGACCATTATCTGAGAGAAAGACCATTACCTCCCATTAACCGAGAAGAACAGCTTCCAAGGACCCATGCTTTTCCCTAGCTGAGAAAGTAGGGTAATTACGCAAAGAATGGCTTGTTTGGTGAAAAAAAACAAAAAACAGTGAGGGTAAATCAAACGTATTTGGCTGAGGTTTTAGTTCAAATAGCAGCAAGATTTAGAGGAGCACTGGGGCCATCTGTTCTCCTGAGCCTCGGCCCTCCCGAGGGACGGCAGGGCAAACATAGGCGACTTTGGCTGACTCACGCTGGATTTACACAAATGGCCTTCTGCCTGTGGATCCACGCATCCATCTCTCAATCCCCACCACTCGGCTTCCCCTCCTGAAGGCCTTTGCTGCTCTGACACAGAGTAACTGCCTGTTCTCTCACTCCATCTGGCTTGCCAGAAAACTAAAAGTTGAGCATGTTTGGCGTAAACCACCAATGGCAGATGATAACAAGGGATGAGGAGCTCAACAAAAAAGAAAAAAGAAAAGAAGCGACAGCTCAGACCTACTTAGAGAAAACAACAATTGACACCACAGGAATGCCTGTGTGAAGCAAAGCCATCTGAAAGAGAAAGGAGAATTAGCTGAGGTGTGCTATAAGGAGCTGGGGTGTGTGAGGGAAAACAACAACAAAGGCTGTGGCGGTAAACTAAGAAAATAAGTTGTAGCAAGGGTTTTTATGAGGGATTTAGGAAAGATAAACGTGCCTTTTCTAGATTTACCTCAACTTCTTTCTTTTTGATGGTTTTCATAAAAAACCAATATGATGGATTTTGGCTCAAAGAAAGGAATCTGAATCTGCTGATGAAGGTTCTCAGTCATCCAGGTCATGGTCATCAGAAAAGCAGTATGAAGAGAAAATTATGAATAACACCTGTCTTTACTGCTGGTTTTAGATTATCCATCCATCCATCCATCCATCCATCCATCCATCCATCCATCATTATGTCCATCCATCCATCCATCCATCCATCCATCCAAATTTTACATCAACCAACTGTTCGTCCGTCCGTCCGTCCATCCGTCCGTCCATCCATCCATCCATCCATCCATCCATCCATCTTTACATCCACCCAATCAACTCACCAACCAACCAACCATCCATCCATCATTCCATGCATCTGCCCATCCATCCTCATGGGCTCGACACACGGGAGGCGAAAAAAGACCGCGATCAGCGAAATTTGTCGCTGTCGCTTTTATTACCTGTCACACGGGAGGCGATCCGCGGCAGCGGCCAGCGGCAAAGCCGTCTATGCGTTCTCTTCCATGGCGAAATCGAAACTTCCGTTGTTTTGTTTGGCTGTGTCAGGTTGGAGGGAATTAAGGTTATTTAAGCGGTTCAGAGTTAATAAAGCGGTAGATATTGTCACAAGGTGCTGCTAGAGTTATGTGAAATTCTTACTTCTGATTTTACTATATAAAACATAATAATAATCAACTTCTCCTCCATGTTTGCTCGGAGATGTGCGGAGCATCCTGTCCGCTCATTGGTCAGTGAATGAAACCTCCGTTGATTGGTCCCTCGCCCGAGCGACAGCGATGAAAAGTTGAAAATCTTTCAACTTTCTGGGATCGCGTCGCTGGGTCGCACGTGCACGACTGCAAACTTTCACACGCACGTTTTTCGCGTTTCGCTTGGTAGGAGGGAGACCCGCGATTATCGCTTTGTCGCGCATGTCTCATTGAAAATGAATGGAGGAGAGGCGATGTCGCCTCCCGTGTGTCGAGCCCATTATGTCCATCCATCCATCCTTACATCCAATCAACCAACCATTCATCCAGCCATCTTTACATCCACCCAGTCAACCAACCAACCATCCATCCATCATCTTTACATTCATCCAATCAATCAATCAACTGACTCGTCCATCTATCCACATATCCATCCTTACATTCAATCAACCAACCATTCCTTTATCCATCCATCTTTACGTCCACCCAATCAACCAACCATCCGGCCATCCATTCATCCTCATGTGCATCCATCCTTACATCCAATCAATTAACCATTCATCCCTCCATCCATCCATCCATCCATCCAAATTTTACATCAACCAACTGTTCGTCCATCCATCCATCCATCCATCCATCCTTAAGTCCAACCAACCATCCATTCATCTAATCATCCATTATCCTCTGCTTATCAGGGATTGGGTCGCAGGGAACAGCAGTCTAAGCAGAGAGGCCTAGACTTCTATCTTCAGCCGGCCATCTTGGGCCAGCTGCTCTGGGGAATCCTAAGATGTTCCCAGACCAGCTGAGAAACCGTCTCTTTGACGTTACCTGGGTCTTCCCTTGGGTCTCTTCCCTGTTGGACGTGCCCAGAAAACTTCACCAGGGAGACTTTAACGAGGTATCCTAACCAGATGCCTAAACCACTTCAGCTGGCTCCTCTTGATGTGTTTTTTGATTATTTCATTTCACAAAGAACAAAGCAATAAAAAATAGTTCCTAAAAAAGCAATGACAAAACTCACCACAGTGTCCCTGGTACTGCACACGTATGTTCTTCTGGTTCTTGCAGGCATGCTGGTGGAGCTCACACTCGTTCCGGTAGTCCTTTCCATCGCTGCCACACACAGTCTGAACTGGTTTGCCATCGCAGCCGAGGGGGCACATGCATTTAGCCGACAAGCCGTCTGAAGACTGGACGCAGGTGCTACCGTAGCTGCAGGTCACGTCAGTACAGGGGTCCTTCAGAGCTGCAGGAACATAACAACAAGGAGAACATCTGTCAGGCAGCAGTGAAAGTGTGCTGAATTCTCTTGTACACCAAAGTGCATCGTGAATGACAGACCTCCTTATCTATGTGGCTGCTCGTGCACTTTTAGAAGCCCAGCACAGTTATTTGAAGAGCTACTTGGCACCCCAGGTAAAGATGCCACCCAGCTGTCGCCTTGTACCAACAAGTTGTGCTGCTGTCACAAAGTGGCGTGAACTGGAAAGAAGCTTTGCATTTACTACATGTTCTCCACTGCTATGCTTCAACAGTCTTTGATTTTACCCGTTGCAAAGTGACCTTTTGAATATTTACCTTTTTCAAAAATTAAACCAAAGGAGGAAACAGAGAAACTCCCCACACCCACCTCCAGGACGGCCTTCCCACCCTGACTGAGCTCCACACCACTTGTTGCTTTATTCTAATGATGCGTATGCTCCACGACTCCTGGCTGGGGCTTGACAAAAGGCAGCCATGAGATCACAATGGCTGTCATCGCACAGCACGATACATATTTATGACCGTCACCAACAAACATGTCCTCCCATGAGATGCGAGCCGAGCACCGTCAGCCCTCTCGTTTCCTAAGCCTGACTTTTTTGTAATAAATATTTACCAGCGTCTGATTTTATCCCTCTTTTGTTACGAACAGCATCGATGAACTCCATTTAAAGCCGGGGGAGTACACGCTGAGTTTGCAAAAGGTGCATTTTTGTGGGTATCGGTCCTCGCTCCAGAGACGGTAGCAGAATGTCTTTCTGCCTCCAGGATGGAAAGTCTCTGCCTTGTTAATAAGACATCACTGTGTGCAGAGATATGTATATTATGAATGTGTGTGGAGACAGGAGAGCTATGAAGAGAACTACTGATCAAAGGACTCCCTACCTTGCCTTCCTCATCTTCATGACACATTTTCCTTTTCTTTTTCCCTCCGTTCTCCTGTCAAGTTCTTTTGAGGTCTGGCGCCTCAGTCTCACTAATGACACTTTTTTTTTCATTTCATATTTGTACTGCTGAAGAACTTTGAAACTGCCTCTAGACCTAATTTTATGAGTATCTTCAAAAATAAAGTGCTAAATTACAGCTTCAGCCTAAAGAGACTGGTCAGAAATGACTCACTGGAATCCAAAGTGATTACAGAAAATCATAAGTTATTGTGAGCTGCTGATGACAGACTGATGGCTGCCTGCGCGAACCAGATAGCCATTGTGATGCTTTGTGTCTGATCGCGCGAACAATGAGGCGCTGATGACCTCTGGGACACGGCGCTGCCGTAACAACCTTGTTGTATCTGCCGGAGCTATTTGAAATACAGCAGCAGCTAAAGGCTACACATCCACTACCTGTTTAGCATGTGCAAAACAATAAAGTAAAATCCAGGTCACGCTACATGCTAATAGAAAAATGCTTCTGTAAAACCAGCA